TCCCAGAACAAGCTAAGCTATGGCCCAGCTATAAGGGAAACAGACGTGTAGCCCGGAATACGTTTATTCGGTACGTATATTGCTCGCGAAGTGTTATGTTGGCAAACCGATTAGTTATCAGATAACTAGCATAATTCGCGTGAAAATTAATAGCTAAATATTTCTGAGTAATATTCTACAGCAGGATTTCTATTTGGTCATTGATGGACTCCCCCACAACCTCATATGCACAAGGCCAAGACACCGAATCAGGTGGGTCTTCTCCATTTTCTCCTGTAGGTTACATAGAGGGCATGTGGGTTGAGTGTATACTCCCAATCTGTGAAGGTGTTTTGATAAGCAATCGTGTCCGGTACGTAGTCTAAACGCAGCAAAGACTTCGATAATGGGGTTTTAATAAGCTATCTAGATCACGAATGGTTCGAAGATATCCTCCCAAAAAAGTACTTTTTAAGTCAATCAAAGTCGATTTAAACATTTCAAAATGTACGAGTAAACAGTTTGAAAAAAATGTAGCCTCCACTTTTTTATTTTTTAAAAACTATGAAAGGATTTAAATTGAAGACTTCGTTTGTAATTCTCAATTTTTATTAAAGTACATTTTCCCTCTACTGCCAAATTCAAAATAATTTCTTTTTTCCGATTTAGTGTAAGTAGCCGTAATGTAGTAAAATTTTCGGCACTTCTGACTCATAGTAGTGACCAATTCGCAAAAATATAAGGATCTACTTTTGTTGGATTGATGTTATGGTAACTAATAATAAGAAGAATTATGAATTTAGATAACATTAATAATGCACTAACTATTCCCCACTTACATAAGGTCTTCTTGATCTTTCAATTATGAAAGCTTTGTTCTGTAGATCAGCCGGAGAAATCCTATTAGACTTCACAAACAGGTATGTTCTGCTTAACTCTTTTTAAATATTACAGGCAGCTCTTTTAATTATATGGAGATATATATATATCTGTGCTTCATCTAGGTGGTCTGTCTACTAATATTTTAAACTAAAACTCTTCCGTACTGTTTCAATGCCTATAAGTCCAGCTTCTGTCGCACTGATTCATAAAGACAACAACAGCACTAATACGCAGCAACAAGCCGCCTCTGTTCGCTGGCGCTCTCTGGGCGTTCGAGTGTGTGTCAAGCCTGCTTTTCCAACTCTCCTCTCTTCCCCCCTCCCTCTATTCTATGTCCTCTTGCTTGCGAACGTGCGTTGAAAGTTCTCCCTGAAATGAACTTTTTCTCTTATTCTAGTCGTCTACTAGTCTGTTACGTACTTTCTTCTTCTTCCTCTTCCCTCCCCCCCCCACCCCCTCCATGTCTGTTGAAGCGCGCACACTGCTGTCTGATAATTAAAAAATACCTAATTCAGCCGGTCTAGAGAGCATTTAAAATGATTTGTACATTTAGAAGTACATTTTAGCTTTGAGATTCGCCCTATTCGGGGTTAAAAGGCAATAGCAGCCCTAAAAATTATTAGGGACAATAAATTGACGTTGGAGGGAATAATAAAGCTCACTGGAGGCGGTCATTAGAGTTAGTTTAAAGTGAGTAGAAATAGCGTTGTACGATTGGAAGTGAAATAGACTGATTTTGGTTCATTTTGTCCTAGGAACGGAATTAGTAACGTCGCACGATAATTTAGGTGAGAATGCATGTATTTAATTCAATGCAGCAGAACGCGATTTGTTACAGTAACTTCTTTGGAGGTTGGCGAAGTGTTCAACAGGCAGAAAAAATATGGAGTAATGGATGACTTACTGACGGTTTCATGAAGTTGTGAAAAATGAGAAAGATCTAGCCCTCTAAGTAGAGCGAAATATATTATGTAAGTGGTGTTCATCAAAATTAGCTCAATAAACATAAAATACAGACGTATATGTTTCTATTTGATATGGGGAACTGGGAGTGCTGACAATTTCCAACTCAGAAACAAACTGAAATACTTGACATACAGATTCGTGAAATTGGAAATTGTCAGCAATTCATTTGAAGCTCAAAATGGAAGAAAGGCCTCTTTTCAACTGGAATCGAGGTAAATACACCAGAGAGTGGGTTCGTGCTATTAATTGCAATACCAAGATCATTCACACTGATGCTTGCAAAAATATTATTCAGTTTGAATGGCTCATGATCTGTAAATAAATAGCAACACTGGAGACAGTGTTTGCAGAAAAGTGGAGTACCAATCAGTGGAGAAAGACTAATCAAATAGGCAGCCAATATCGTGATTTCTGGGTGAAAATTGGATTTAGCTAGATTCCAAGAGATGACGGTGAGAATGAAACAAAAGGCAAAAATTATGACTAAGCATCGAAACGATATTGAGGAACAGATCAAGTCATTCGAAGTAGCTATTTCATATCAAGATTGTGGATAATATTGCACTTCATATGATGGAGAAGAGTCTCACTAACTTATTCTGTTTCTATAATTGCTGCCACTAAGTAATCATAAAATATAAATTTATGAATAAATGAATATGCCCATACATATACATATATTTAAATATGCATTGGAAAATATTTAATAAAATATATACATATGTATATTTCTATATGTACATTTTAATGACAAAATTAGGTTTAGTTATTCGACTCAACACAATAAGTATATGTGTATAAATATGAATATATTATCATAACAATCTATATATCAAAAGAGTGATAGCCATCAAAAACATAGTAAACAAATATTTATGTTCATATCAAAGCATTTCTTATCGATGAATCTTCAATGAATGCTAAATTAGCTTCACAATTAGAGGAAAAATGTGATTGTTCCTAATAGCTCATTTGCAGGCCAATTGCTAAAGAAAATAAAATGTTTAATTTTGTACCTTCGCCTATTCAAAACTCATTAAATAATTATAAGGTGTTCAATTTGCAATGCATTAGTGTATTTCACTTTGTTGTGCAAATGTCGATGTCAAAAATGATTTTACCTAATGCTTTCTTCGCGGTTATACGAAACACAGGTCACACAAGATAAGACGTGCGTATTTCAGATGAGAATGTGAAGTGCATTGAAAGCATTTAGTTATAGCAAAATTAGATAGATCTTATATTGGAAACTAATTCAACACCGCCAAGTAGTTTAATGGAACCAATTATTTAGCAACATGCACGGAAGCAGAATATTCCACTCGAGATTCACTATCCGATACTATTAACTGTGTCAAAATGAAGTTCACTTACCCATTTTACATCATTGAAATGAGTGTCCATGGTATCGAATAGTGATCTTTCACTTTACGGCATTCACGGCAAGGAGTGAATTGAAAGCCAGAGCGGATGAGTACAATACACCTTGAGCCTCCTGTGATTGTAGCACACTGGCAAATTCAGTGGAGTAGAAGTCCAAATTACGTGTCTACGGAGAAGAGGGCAAATGATAATTAGAATTAAGAAATGGTGAATGAAATTGGTCCAAACTGTAGAGATGAAGGGTCCGATTAGTATTGTGCGAATTTCTCGATGGTGATTTTTTTTATCTTCTTTCATGATTATTCTCGTAAAATATTGTGCAAATGCCGCGATCAAAATACATTTGTTTGTTTGATTTAGGACTGAAGAAATTTCACTTCAAACTGGAATAGCGTATAACAAGCTGCAAAATTGGTACAACCATCCAATCTTCAATTGGCCTCAAGCGTTAAAATGGAACGAGTGAATGAGAGTTCATCCTGTACTGAAAGTGTCTGTGTGAGTTGAATGGAGACTGAGTGATTGAGACAAGTGAGTCAATTGAGACGTTTTCTACCAATTATAAAATAACCGATCTCACAAAAATAAATGGATGGATAGCTCTATATAGGCACAAATTTGGCTCATATATTATTCAAATAAGCGAGACAAGCATTCTTATGGTGGACTCAACTACTAAATTGAGTGATGCAACTGAAAACTAATGTTCGTGTTTTCATTCTTGGTATAAGGTTGTCCTGAATGGACAAAAATTAGCATCATGAGAAATAATAGAATTATTAACAAAAATAATAATAATTGTAATTAAAGGGAATATTTAATTATGATAACTGCTTGAATGAAGATTTGTTATTAAAATGTAATGCTCAAATGCATAGTTTTTATTGTGTCAGGATTATGTTTGTTTAAGTGTAATGAAACCTGGCACCACATTTGACATTATACCCAGGGTCATGCCAGCTACAAATCAGTGCTCCATATGTCTGGGGGAAATGAAAGCCTCAATCGGAATGCTAGGTGGATGTGAACACATCTTCTGTTACGATTGCATCAAGAAGTGGTCTGAAGCTAAACGAACGTGTCCCATTGACCGCACACCATTTGACTCTATCAATATACTACACGAAATTGGTGGTGCAATTGTGGAAGAGGTTTGTTATGATGCTCACTTTAAATGGCATTACATTTTAGGAAAAGCTAGAACCTCTGGAGTCGGATCAACTCTATACTTCACTTAACGGTGTTCGCAATTTCATTTGTCCACAATGTGGAAATAGATTAAGACGGATGAATTGAGTGCACTTAATTGCTATTATCCCCTCCTCCTCCTCTACTCACTCCTTTCATTTGAGTAACTTCTCACTCCACATTCCTCCCTTTCATTTTCTTCATATTCTTCTTCTTCTCTTTCATCACATTACCATTGTTCCTGTTGTAATAATTGGCATAACTAAAGCAAAATACTCGTCCTCCTTCGTCTATGTGTGGGACACGTCATAGCTTAACACGTCATCGCATGCCTGCACGCCAGGATTGGGAGGTGCGACCTTTCAAACTGTGACCAATCATTAACCTTTGTTTGTTTAACCTAATCTGTCATCCTCATCATGATTAAGCTTCCTGCGTTACACTTTATCCGCGATACACGTACTGAATAAATGTGCTCCGTGCTACACGTCTGTTGCGTTTATAGCTGGGCTATAGCTTAACTGGTTCTGGGAGTCTAGCAAGATGTTTGAGAATCTGCCATAGAGATTTCTGAGTCAGTCAGGCTTTAATAAAGTAGCAATCCGCTACATATGCAAACCCCTGTGTTCTCTTCACTGTGCAAAAGTAGATGGAATGTGAGGTCACAATTTACGGTAACCGATATTCGCCTCTTAGGTCATGAACGGGAATGGCTGAAAAATATTAAACTCACATTTGAGAATGTGTTGGTCAATTTTGTGCAGTTGCTTGACCTGGAAGTGAATTAAGCCCAAGATGTTATTGATGCCAATAGGACGATCATTTCAAAATCTGCTTAAATTTGTGCTGGGCCAAAACTGTTCAGTAAGTTGATAATGGCAGTGCACGCACATTTGCACACACACATTTTGTCCAACAGTATCCAATGGAAATTCGTGAAGGAGAGTAAAATCCATGCATATACACAATTTCTACCATCACATCCACTGGGAACATTCCAGATCCAACAAATTCTCAAGCGCTCCATCCACTTTTAAACTTAAGCCTCATTTTGGAGGCGTTAAGGCATTTACCGTGTTTGTTCGGAGCATCAAGCGTGGGGTTGTCCACCATTACATTCAATTTGAGATCTCATTAATTCGACACGCTGTCCCATTAACTCCTCATTCACTTTTGGCATTTTTGGAATGAAAAAAACCAACACTTGAAACATTGCTCCACCAAAATTAGGTGAATCGATTGCATTTGATATCATTATCTCATTTGTGTTCATTTGGCAGACTTGAAGTTACGTGATTGGGCGAGAGGAACATGAGTCGAGCAGCATTTACCCTGATCAATTTTATTCTCTCCAAGAGCACGTTCTTCTGCTTTGTCGCCTCAACTAAACGAAGAATATTATGTCATTGGAAACATTGAAAAAGGAGAGCATTTGTCACAAAATTTTGTGTAAATAAGATGGGGAAATGTAATTCTTGGGTCACTATAGCAAACGAAATGAAATCGGATTCGCTTTCTTAGTTAGAGGTCACACCCATTTGATGTGATCGGAAATAGATCTGACTAGTTACGTTCGAGTAGTGTAATGGTGAAATTCTGCTTTCTTTACAATATGGTTCCAGAGTTTCTTCCAATCATTGTCAACTGGTAAGTTTTTCATTTAATCACATGGTACGCCAGTTCTTCCAGAATATTTTGTCTACTTGCTTTTGTAAGCAATCTTTCAAAACTGGACAACAATTTTCTTAGACTCCTGTGGTACTAAATGCCGAATGCGATAATTCCACAGTCATATGAAATTCAAAACATAAACAAAATTGTATATCATACATACATTGTACGAATTATTCTTTGTAAACTTTATCAAGAAACATCAAGATATGGTCTGAAGCTTTTCGACGACAGCTGACATAACGTTGGGTCATATTTAACCTATATCAAGAATGGCGTTTCCAATGGATTGGCTACAAGAGTTTCTGTCTGAGGCTAAACACGAACCTGTCTTGTTGACTCCACATCATTTGACTCAATCAATATACAACACGAAATTGGTGGTGCAGTTGTGGAAGATGTTCGTTGAGATGCTCAATTTTTAATGGCATAACATTTTAGGAGTAGCTGGAACCACAGAGGTTGAATCAACACAATGGTTCTCATAACGACATCGGTAGTCATAACGTTGGGTCATATATTCAAACCAATATCAAGAGTGCCCCCTCCCTACAGCCTTGGCAGCAAGGGTTTCGGATCAGCATTTTCGTCGTTATCTTGGCGGAGAAAGCTGTAAAATGACTCAAATTCGTGATAAAGAAATTCCGTATGTGTTATATAATTCTCATTTGTTAATGTTGTTATTTGAACGGCTTAAAAATTACTACATCTGCTTTTTTAAATGAATAATAGTTTACTGTTCTTTAATCAAGGGGATGAAGAGCTGAAAGTGTGAAGAAATAGTTTGTGCAATTCGGATGTAGACTTTGTCATTTGATATACGATTTCTTTCGTCTTTGATACTCAATTAGAGTTAATATATACTTTTGTATCATTTTATCGTCCTCGTATTCCATGAGACAGAAGGTGTCTGGAGATATCACTCAAAATCTTCTGGCTGACTGTTGCGTTTGGGGAACTGTGATCATGTTAATTCTTCACTTTGCCTATTCACAGTTAAATATTTTCACGAGTTCTCTTCATTGGATAATATTTAACAATCAAAGAGGTGGAGTCGATACTGCTACGTGTTTAGGCCATTGGAACACCTGGAAAATTCATCCCCCTCATCTCTAACAATGCTTCTAAATGTGTTGGGGCATTATGTGGAAAGCCTTCCATAATTGTTTCAGATAAATTGATTTCAAATAGAAATCTGTTGCTCTAGACGATCGCGTATTTTGACTTTTAAATCAACGTCCATTGATGC